CTGAGCCGAGCACAGAATCCACCACAACGCAGGGAGCATCTGGTAAATGGATGTCTGGGTGGCTGCCGTAAAGTGACCGGTCGTAGTTCAGGCTATTAGAATAAAAAATGTCATAGACTGGGGGGCTTCAACAATGGAAATTTATTTCTCACAGTTCTGGAGGCTGAGAAGTCCCAGGTCCAGGTGTGTGGGCAGACACAGGGTCTGGCCAGGGCCCTCTCCCTGGCTGGCAGGCAATCATCTTCTTGCTGTGACCTCACACAGCAGAGTGAAGTGAGTACACACTCTTGTCTCCTCTATGAGGGCACTAATCCCACCATGAGGGCCCCACACTCATGACCTAATCACCTCCCAACTGCTAATACCAGCTCAGGGCAGTTAGGGTTTTCACGACCTAATCACCTCCCAACTGCTAATACCAGCTCAGGGCAGTTAGGGTTTTCACATATAATTTGGAGAGTGGGTGGGGACAAACACTCAGTTCATAGAACAATACTTGCTGCAATTGAGCCACCCAGGCTGGGCTGTGACATTTACACCGTGTGCCCCTAGTGATGGTCAGTACTTTTTTTTTTGAGATGGACTCTCACTCTGTCACTCATGCTGGAGAGCAATGGCACACTCTCTGCTCACTGCAATCTCCGCCTCACTTGGTTCAAGCGAATCTCCTGCCTCAGTCTCCTGAGTAGCTGGGATTACAGGCATGTGCCACCACACTTGGCTAATTTTGGGTACAGACAGCATTTTGCAATGTTGACCAGGTGGGTCTCGAACTCCTGACCTCAAGTGATCCACCCGCATTGGTCCCCAAAATGCTGGGATTACAGGCGTCAGGCGTGAACCACTGTTCCCAGCCCAAGCTACTTCTTAACTGGGTTCCTGATCTTTCTTGGCCTGTCTCTGCTCCCAGCCTGGCCTTACTGCTCCTGCCTCTGACCTCCTGCTTTGGGTCTCAGGCAGGACCAAGTTTAATCTCAAACAGCTTGGCCTGATGCCTTGGGGTTGGTCCCTTGTCTTCTCTTCATACACAGCCCCTCGCCTCAGTACCTGTGCAGTAGGGGACACTTCCTATCTGATGAGCCTTGATTTAGTGTCCACATGAACACGCCCTGATCTGGGGCTCGATTGAAGGCTCAAATACAACTGACCTCATTCAGTTGTTCAATAAATATTTCCTAAGCACCTGCTGTGTGCTCAGGCCCATGCAAGGCATTGGTGACAGTGGGAAGACAGTGGGGAACAAGACAGCCATGGTCCCTGTCGTCAGGAAGTTGCCACTCAAGTGGAGAAGAAAAAAGGAAGAAATAATAGTAGTTCTGCCTCCATGATGGAGTGAGTTTGGGGCCACAGGCACAGAGGATAGCACCGCACTAGTCTTTTAGGGTCAGGGAAGATTCACCAGGCAAAGGGAAGTCTAAGGTAACAACCTAAAGGAAACAAGCAGTTAGCCAGGTGGTGGGACGGGGATGGTGGGGAGTCATTGGAGATGGGAACAGACTGTGACCTCATTCTAGAAAGATCATTCTTGCTTCGGGAGGAGAAACAATAAAGCAGATAAGCTAGAGAGTCATCGGATTGCAGGGTGGACTCACTAAGGTTCCAGGTGGTTTGGAATCAGCTTTGCAAGTTCAGAAACCAAGTCTCTTCCATACCCAGTGGTGGGGGCGCCATGTTTAGCAAATTAAAAATCACCTAGCTAAATATGAATCTCAGATAACACATATTTCATATACACATGCCCCAAATATTGCATGAATTCAAATTTAGCTGTGTGTTCAATATTTTATCCGCCAGCTCTACCAGTAGCGACCACGTCTTCAGGACTGTCTTATGTGCACCAAACTCAAAGGGATCTGATGTAAATACATCGATTTATTGATTTACAATTGCAGGCAAGGTTAAAATATACATGTTATTCAGATTCTCCTTTCTGGAAAATGAAACCATCAGAAGATTGACTGGTGGACATGGAATGAGGACAAAATACATAGTTTTTTTTTTTTTTGAGACAGAGTTTCACTCTTGCTGCCCAGGCTGCAGTACAATGGCATGATCTTGGCTCACCACAACCTCCACCTTCTGGGGTCAAGCAATTCTCCTGCTTCAGCTTTCCAAGTAGCTGGGATTACAGGCATGTGCCACCATACCTGGCTAATTTTTGTATTTTTAGTAAAGATGGGGTTTCTCCATGTTGGTCAGGCTGGTCTCGAACTCCCAAACCTCAGGTGATCTGCCCACCCTGACCTCCCAAAGTTCTGGGATTATAGGTGTGACACAAGAAGTTTGAAAGGAAATTTCATCTCAAGGCATGGAAAATTCTGGAAAATCATCCTGGCCTCCTTACAGAGAATCCTCTTTGGTGGCAGAATGGGCAGGTGCCCAGAGAGGGCAGGTCAGGGGCCACCAGGTCCTCAAGTGCAGCTCCCTGTGGAAACATGTGGTTCTTCTGACTTACCCATCATCTACTGGGGGTTGATTCCCCCCTGTACTCAGGAGGCGTTCTTTCAAAGCTTTGGGGCTCCTGACCGAGTCTTCCAATACAATATATTTCACAATGAGGTTACACTTTGTAATGTATTCAGTGGGCTTTACAGCCATTTATTCTGCCTTCTTAAATCCATCGAGAGCAATCAGGTACTCTTCTGATGCCCAGCATGGTGGCTCATATCTGCCATCTCAGCACTTTGGGAGGCTGAGGTGGGCCGAAAACGGTCAGATTGAGACCCTCCTGGCCAACATGGTGAAACTCCATCTCTACTAAAAATACAAAAATTAGCTGGGCATGGTGGCATGCCTATAATCCCATTTACTCGGGAGGCTGAGGCAGGAGAATCACTTGAACCAGGGAGTTGGAGGTTGCAGTGAGCCCAGATTGCGCCACTGCACTACAGCCTGGAGACAGAATGAGACTCTTTCTCAAAAAAACAGAGAAAGAAATAAAAGAAATCACTATACACAACACAGTGAGACCCTGTCATCACACACAAACACACATACACACAAATACAAAATTAGTCAGGCATGGTGGTGCATGCCTGCAGTCCTAGCTACTCAGGAGGCTGAGGCGGGAGGATCACTTAAGCCCAGGAGTTCCGGGCTGCAGTGAGCCATGATCACACCACCATACTCCAGCCTGGATGACAGAGGGAGATCCTGGCTTTTAAAAAAAAAATCACTTCAGAAACTTGGGGTACCCATACCCAAGGGGTCAGTCACTTGCCCTTACTAATTTCCGACTGGAATGCAAGTGGCATGATCATAGTTCATTCCAGCCTCCAACTCTGGGGCTCAAAGGATCCTCCTGCCTCAGCCTCTAGAGTAGCTGCGACTACAGGCGTGCATCACCACAGCTGGCTAATTTTGTATTTTTTGGTAGAAATGGGGTCTCGCCGTGTTGCCCAGGCTGGTCTCCAACTCCTGGCCTCAAGCGATCCTCCTGCCTCAGCCTCCCAAAGTGCTGGGATTACAGTCGTGAGCCACCGCTATCAGCCAGATTCTCATCTCCCAATATCCTCAAACCCAGTCCCTTCTTTCTGTCCTCACTCCCAATTCCCTGACCCTGGGCCCCATCTCTTGCCTGGATTATGCAGTCTTGAAGTTGGTTTATCTGAATTCACTTTTGCCCCCTCTGATCTATTCTCCACACACAGCCACAGAGGTTTTTTTTTTTTTTTTTTTTTTTTTTTTTTTTTTTTTTTAGATGGAGTCTCCTTCTGTCACCAGGCTGGAGTGCAGTGGCGTGATCTCAGCTCACTGCAACCTCCGCCTCCCGGGTTCAAGTGATTCTCCTGGCTCAGCCTCCCAAGTAGCTGAGACTACAGGCGTATGCCACCAAGCCCGGCTATTTTTTTTATGTTGTATTTTTAGTAGAGACGGCGTTTCACCGTGTTAGTCAGGATGGTCTCGATCTCCTAACCTCGTGATCCTCCCGCCGGGGCCTTCCAAAATGCCGGGATTACAGGCGCTAGCCAACGCGCCCAGCCGAGAGGTCTTTTAAATGCACGAATGGGATCACTGCTCCGCATAAAACCCTTCAAGGGGCCAGGCACAGTGGCTCACGCCTGTAATACCAATACTTTGGGAGGCCGAGGCGAGCGGACCACCTGAGGTCAGGACTTTGAGACCATCCTGGCCAACATGGTGAAACCCCGTCTCTACTAAAAATACAAAAATTAGCTGTGCGTGGTGGCGGGCGCCTGAAATCCCAGCTACTCAGGAGGCTGAGGCAGGAGAATCGCTTGAACCCGGGAGGCGGAGGTTGCAGTGAGCCGAGATCACCCCACTGCACTCCAGCCTGGGCGACAACGCGAGACTCCGGCTCAAAAACAACAACGACGAAAAACCTTCAAGGGCTCTCCACGGCACTGGGAAGCAGCCAGCCCGACGGGCGCACCCTTTTGGTGGGTGCGGGTCTCTGACCTCGGACCTCATCTCCTCCCTGTTTGAGCGGCCACGCGCTTCAATCCGGGGCTTCGTAGCTGCCCTGGGCGCCTCCCGCACAGACGCTTACTCAGTGCTGTTCTCCCCTTTGGGTCCTGAGTACGGCCCAGCACGCAGTAAGCGCTTAATGTCTGCCTGCCTAACAGACGAACGCCGGATGCCGGAGTTCGGCCCCGAGCCGGCGCTTCCGGGCTTTCCGTGTGGAGGCGAGGCGAGGGTTGACAGCACAGTTCCCTCGCGCTCGCCTTTTCCACGTCCAGCTCCCTGCGGCCCCCCACAGCTGCGGTTAGACACCTCGTCCGGAGCGGGATGCAGACGCTTCAGAGAAGAAGCGCCAAGGCCGACAGAAACCCAGGCGGACCCCTACCCGGAAATCAACTCTCGGCTGGGACGTTTTCCCACCCGAGCAGGTAGGCCGGAAGTCTGCCTCTTACCCGCCCCCGAGCTGTCATTGGGTGGAATACCCGGAAAAGGGCAGGGACGTAGTCAAATTCTGGCTCTTTATTGGCTAAAAAGAACGAAATTGGCCCCCCCCCCCCCCCCCCCCACACACAGAATGTGAGTCGACACTTCAGGAACATACCTGTGAATGAAAAAGAGACTTGCCTACTTCATCTACATGGTGAAGGGTAAAAAGAGTAGACTGGACCAGAAATCGGAGGGTGGCAAGCAGCTTGAGTGAGGATGAAGCACATCTTAAAGGAATGAAGTGTAATGCTTGATGCACAGGTGATAATCTGCTACATTTAAGCCCATAAAGACTGTTAAATATTATTGTAAATAAAAAAGTTTTAATGATGAAAACAAATTAAAAAAAAAAAAAAAGAATGAAATTGGAGAACGTGGGACCTCACTTCCTCCGGACTTCTCATTGGCTAAAACAAAAAACTCGCCCGGCCTTCGGATTCACATTGGCTGAAGTCGAGGGAAGGTGGTGTCTTATTATCCTCCGGGTCCCTCGATGGCTAGTGGGAGAGACTGGTACGTGCCCCGCTCCGGGGACTAAGCCACTTATTTTTAAATAAAAAGTCAAGGACTTGGCGATCGTTTCCCCAGAAGCCATGGGGCCTGCCGTCGGCCATTTGCTCCCCGGAGGCCCTCGAGTCTTGCTGAGCCCGGGAGTTAGGAGACGCGAACGGTGAGGGAGCCCGGAACGATTTCTTCGCGGAACCATTGAGCCGACGCCACTAGGAGCACTTTGTGGGACGAACGGTGGCGGGCCAGGCCAGAGGCGCAGGGATGGCGGCGGAGGCGGCCGATCCGGGGCTGGGGCCCGCCGTTCCCGTGGAGCTGCGGCGGGAGCGACGCATGGTGTGCGTGGAGTATCCGGGCGTGGTGCGTGACGTGGCTAAGATGCTGCCGACTCTGGGCGGTGAGGAAGGCGTCTCCCGGGTAAGAGGCTGGGCAGCTCCGGGACACCGGGAGAGAGACGGAGTCGCCTGACTGCGGCGGAAGGGGCGGATGGACCTGGGATGTGTGGTTTCCTTGGCAACGGAGCGTGTGGCAGACTCTGGGCGGCCAGTGGGCAGGGCTTTGCTATCTGTGATTGGGAACGGGTCGTTTTTTACCCGGGGAACAGAGGGGAAGGGACTGTGAGGGAGACGCCAGGGGCTTTTTTTTTTTTTTTTTTGTGATGGAGTCTGACTCTGTCGCCCAGACTGGCGTGCAGTGGCGCGATCTCGGCTCACTGCAATCTCCGCCTCCCGGGTTCAAGCTTTTCTCCTCCCTCAGCCTCCCGAGTAGCTGGGATTACAGGCACCCGCCACCACGCCCGTCTATTTTTTGTCATTTTTTAGTAGAATCGGGGTTTCGCCATGTTGGCCAGGCTGGTTTCAATCTCCTGACCTCAGGTGATCCGCCCGCCGAGGCCTCCCAAATTGCTGGGATTACAGGCTTGAGCCACTGCACCCAGCCCCTAGGGGCTTTTTTTCATTCCATCCCCAAAAGCGAGCCACAGTCTTGGCACTGGTGCCAGGAACGCAACTCTGCAGCCTCACAGGGTGTGTTGCGCTGCCTCATCCTCATTACACGAAGTGGAAAACGGAGGCATGAGAAGATGAAGCTCTCTTGACTTACCTGAGAGGGAGAGACTGTTAAGTTATTAGGATTAGAGGTAGTGAGAGTTGTCATCTTATTCTGTGCCGCGTACGGCTCTAGGTGCCTTACTTGCAGTCCATCCTCCTTAGAACCCTACCAGGTAGGACCTGTCAATGTCTGTATTTTACAAGGGAAGGAATGTCGCTTGTTCAGGGTCACACAGCAAGTGGAGCAGCTGGAGGATGCTCTGTGTCAGTTCTTTACATGTACCAGAGCTGGAAACGTCTCTTCTTTACAGAAGTTTTCCCTCATCACCCTAACTAAAGTGGCCGCTGCCAATTATCTACCTCCTCATCCTGTTAATTCCAATGTGAAAATGTTTTAAAATAGTTAATGTCTTTTGACACAGGCTTATAAATAATAAAAAATTTAAGAAAAAAAGGAAAAAAAAAATTATTGTCGCTCTTGGCCCCTTGGCCCTATCAACTCCATGAGAGTAGGGACTTCTCTTGTTCACTTCTGTATTTCTTTATTTTTATTTATTTATTTTGATTCAGGGTCTCATTCCGTCACCAAGGCTGGGGTACAGTGGAGCTAATCATGGCTCACTGCAGCCTCAACCTCCTGGGCTCACGTGATCTTCTCACCTCACCCTCCCAGGTAGCTGGGACTATAGGCATGCACCACCACGCCCAGCTAGTTTTTTGTATTATTTGTGGAGAGGAGGTCTCCCTTTGTTGCCCAGGCTGGTCTTGAACTCCTGGGCTTAATCCACCCACCTTGGCCTCTCAAAGTGCTGGAATACAGGTGTGAGCCACGATGCTGGGCCCAGTTCTCTGTTCCTAACATCCATAACAGTGCCAGTTTCTGTAATTACTTGCCAAATGCATGACTGAGTCTTTACAGCAATCTAGTGAGTTAGATGCCATTTTTATTCACATTTTACAGATGAGGACACAAGGAAATTCAGGTCAGACATCTCCTACACGGTATAAGGGGATTAGAACTCATGCCTTACTCTAGAGTCTGAGCCTTTACCTGCTGCTTTCTCATCCTTTATGAATATGGAAAAGCCCTAAATTCATTAAGCATGGGCCACCAGTACAGCCCCAGTTAATCATGTTTTCTTCTTTTATATTATTCACTTGACTTTTGGCTTTGACAGAATCCTTACTCTCGCTAACCCCAGGGATTATCTGTACCCAACTACAGTGTGAGCGCTTTGGGAAGGGACCTTCATCACCCATTCACTCTTCTCATGTTTCTTGAGCCCTCCCCTGTGCCACGCGCACCTTTGGGTTCATTCCCACCCTATCAGGACTCAGAGGCGTGTGCTTCATGAGGAGGAGATTCCTGAGCACAAAGCCTTCTTCATTCCCTCCCTAGATAGTTCCTGACCACTTCCTAAGGGCCAGACCCTGTTCTGGGTGTTGAGAGCCAGCTCACCAGTATGTAGGTGATCTTGACCCATTTAATGTTGTTGGTGCTTTCAGATGCACACATCCGATGCTCGCTGTGACCCAGCATGCAGCAAGCGTTCATTCACATGTAGGTGGCACATATTGAATGTCTACCACGAGACAAGTCAGGCACCAAGCTCTGTGCTTGATACATATTTAATCATCATAACAATCATATGACATAGATACTATTCTTGGGGCTTTTAAGAAGAGGGACCCAAAAGGGTGTTGGTATTCAGTGTCTTGTGCTTGGAAGGGTATAGGTGACAGCAAGTCAGAGCCCAAATGGGTATTACTGATTGATTTAATCTCATTTGGACCTCAGATCATCTCCATATGGGACTGAGTACCGAGACCTTTTATGGTGGATGGTAGTTAGAGTAGGTAGCCCTAGACAAGCCACTCCACCCCACACCAAGCTGAGTGACCTCCAAGACAAGGGTGATAGTACCACCCTCGAATATTACCAGAAGAATCACCTAATGCCCCACACTGAACAGGGACTTGATGGATGATGGCATTTACTTAATGGGCAGTTGTCATCTCCAACTTTACAACCTCTTAGAAGGAAGGAGATGATTCTCATTTTCTCCACTGGGTACAAACTAAGCTACTTGGGCTTAAAAAATGAGCCTTTTGGGAATTAAGAGCCCAGAATGAAATGTGAGCCTCTTCGCCCTTCCTGGGTCACCATCGGGTTTTGTGGAGAGAGGAGCAGCTCCTCCCCGGCTGCTTGCTCGTCATTGCTTCACTCTGTCTCCTTCGGCCTTGCCACAGATCTATGCGGACCCCACCAAGAGGCTGGAGCTGTACTTCCGGCCCAAGGACCCATACTGCCACCCAGTGTGCGCCAACCGCTTCAGTACCAGCAGCCTGCTGCTCCGCATCAGGAAGAGAACAAGGCGGCAGAAAGGGGTGCTGAGCACTGAGGTCCACCCCGAGGTCACATTTGACATGGAGATCCTTGGCATCATCTCCACCATTTACAAATTTCAGGGTAACTGAAATCTACTCTTGCAGCATCTGGTTATTTCAGGGTTGGCTATCCCAGCTGCCTGCAGGAGCTGTGTGGGTCATCTGTACCAGTGAGGGGGGCCAGGGTATGCCCAGGCATGAGGGCAGGGGCTGCCGGGACACAGCAGAGCACAGGCCCCATCCAGGAGGCAGCCTTTCTTCCCTCCAGCCAGTAGTTCCCCAGAGACTCTGGGTTCATTGCTGCCCAATCTTCAGCATTCTTAAACTGGAAATCTCCTAATTTTTAATAAAACCATTGTATGGGACCAAATCTGGCCAGCAGACTTTCAGTCTTTACCCCTCCACAGTGTTTTGAATCTTCTCTTGGTCTGGGCTGCTGTTGGTCTTGCCTTCCTAGCTCCCGAAGCCCCTTGGGGCCTCCTGCCCCTTTGAACTCTCAGCAGGTTGAAGGTCCCTCGTGGAGCCCTCAGTCAGGTTTGCCACCTACCAGGAACCGCAGTGAGGAGGCAGTAAGGCAAGGGAGGGAGACAGGCGTGAGAAAGACACAGACTTTGGCATCGTGCCTGCCTGAGTCCTGCCAGTTTCTTTGGAAGGTGGCTTGTATTCCCTCAGCCTCAGTTTCCTTGTCTGTGCAGTGTGTCCTGCATTCCTTAGGCCCTTGTGAAGATTCCGGGAGGCAGTGTCTGTGAATGGACCAGGCTCTAGCCCAGGGGAGGTGCCTGGCCTATTACTAACAAGCCTTAGATATAGCTGAATTGCAGCTACAGTTTTAGGCAGAATCTGAAGAGTGTAAAGATTGAGAAGGGAAAGGAGGACTAGAAGGAGAAAAGAGGGGAAGAAGAAAGCGAAACGAAGGAGAAGCAGGTCCTGGTTCCAATGGGTCGACCATTTTGAATTGCAGTCATTCTGCTGGGTCATGGCATTCACCAAAGAGGGCTGTTCTTTCTGGGACAAGGTTTCCAAAGTGATTGATAAAACTTGACATGTCGTGTTTTTATCGAATTAAACCAGCACCTTGCTGCCCAGTGTGTGTCTCCAGACTGGCAGCATCAAGCTCACCTGGGAGCTTGGTAGAAATGCACCATCTCAGAACCTACATTTAGCAAGATCCCGGGTGATTCATATCATATTAGGTTGGTGCAAACATAATTGCAGTTATTACAGTTAAAAGTAACATACATTTAAGAAGCACTGACCTGAACTCCATCTTCACCTATTATGTAGCTCCCCACCTCCCCAAAATAATTTGTATGTAAGTGACTTAAGACTGCATTGAGCCAACTTTGCAGAAGCATTTGGGAACGGTGTGTTTCCCTGCCACCCTCGCCCTGCAGCCTCCACCGCATGGCCCACTCAGCACCTCCCTAAGCAGATGTGGGTGTCAGTGTGTGGCAGCCACCCATTCCTGAATGAGTATCCCTGGACTCATTATCCGCCATCTGGTCACCTCTCTTTCTAGGGATGTCTGACTTCCAATACTTGGCCGTGCATACGGAAGCAGGCGGCAAGCATACGTCAATGTATGACAAGGTACTGATGCTCCGGCCGGAGAAAGAGGCCTTCTTCCACCAGGAGCTGCCACTGTACATCCCCCCACCCATCTTCTCCCGGCTGGACGCCCCAGTGGACTACTTCTACCGACCAGAGACCCAGCACCGGTAAGTCCCCCTCCAGGCGGCCTCAGTTCTCCATCCTGAAAATGGGATGGGCCGGGCGCGGTAGCTCATGCTCGTGGTGCACGCCTGTAATTCTAGCTACTCAGGAGACTGAGGCAGGAGAATCGCTTAAACCTGAGAGACAGAGGTTGCAGTGAGCTGAGACCGCACCACTGCACTCACTCCAGCCTGGGTGACAGAGCGAGACTGTCTCTAAAAAAAAAAAGAAAGAAAATGGGATGACAGTAGTACCTACCCACCGAGGTATTGGGATTGAATGTAAACAGCACGTGCAGTTCTCAGCACAGGGCCGAGCACAGAACAGGGCCTTAGTAAGCAGTGGCCAATGGATTGCCAGGTCGGCCTCACTCCTAAGGATGAGTTCCTGCTGAGAAATGTCCTTTGGTTTAACCCCCTGGTCATTGCTGACCGGCCACTCTCTGGACCTTGCTGTCACCAGTAATGACACTACCTAAGCAAGCCACCTGTGAACGTCCCAGTTTGACCCCAGCTCTTTCCTACCTCCTTTTTTTTTTTTTAAATTGAGATGGAGTCTCTCACTGGAGTACGGTGGCACGATCTTGGCTCACTGCAACCTTCACTTCCTGGGTTCTGGTTCAAGCAATTCTCCTACCTCAGCCTGGCAAGTAGCTGGGATTACAGGCATGAGCCACCACGCCCAGCTAATTTTTGTATTTTTTAGACGAGATGGAGTTTTACCATGTTGGCCAGTCTCGTCTTGAACTCCTGACCGCGTGATCTGCCTACCTCAGCCTCCCAAAGTGCTGGGATTACAGACGTGAGCCAGCGTGCCTGGCCTCTTTCCTACCTCCTTTGCTCTTCATGGCCTCACCGTCCCTGTCCCTGGCAGAGATTTCACAGCCTCTTTATCATCTGTCCTTCCCCTGCCCTGCTCTCTTTGCCACACTCACCTGCCAAGCCTTTGCTCCACTTCATCCCAGCTGTTTGCCTTTTCCTGGTCTGCCCTGTGCAGCTGGAGGTCGCTTCAGAGAACCCCTGATCCTGCCCATCGCCCAGTGCCATCCTTCTCAAGGCATCTGTGACTGTACACAGCTCTTGCCTGCTCTGTTCTTGGTAATGGTCTGTGTCCCCTCTGGAGCACAGTGCCTCTCCTGAGGTCAGGCACGCACTCACTCTCATCAGTAGTGGGTTTCTCCTTCACTGAGAGCTATGAAAGGCCACATGGACGTGACTCACAGTGCACCCACTGCCACCACCCGCCACCCACCACCACACTGCGCGTGTGCACAGTCCTCCCAAGCCCATATGCGATTCAGATGACATGAATTCTTTAACTTAGACCTTCTTGACATAATTAGAGACCCCAGGGGCTATTGGAAAGGTAGGCCTGGGCCTTGTCAAATGTTGTCAAATGCTACCCACTGACATGAAAGAATAGGATTTCATTTATGTAAAATCCAAGATTTAATACTATGAAAACAAGTTGAAAATACCCAACTGGGGATGAATAGTATTAACCAGTTTCACCGCCAGCTATTTCACGTCCCTGTGCAGCAGTGCAGTGAGTGTGTCTCACCCCAGCCTGGGAGCAATTCCCCAGGGTTCCTGACACCCCATCGTACACACAAGGAAGCCGAGATGTGGGGTCAGCACCAGGTCCCGTGGGCAGCACTGCCCCGGTCTCTCCCGCTCTGCAGGCTTTGCTCATGGCCCAGTGCCACGCTGTCCTGATTTTTGTGTGCTCTACTTTCTAAAATTACACACAAAAGGACATTAAAAAAAAAGCTTGCCATTTTAGTAAAATATGCTTCCCAGAAGTAGTGCCTTGGCCTGCTTTGGCCTCTGTCATAGCCCCGGTGCCCAGAACAGAGCCTGGCTGGTGAGAGGCACTCAGCAAGTATCCGTGGGCCCAGATTTAGGGGAGCAGGATTACTACAAACAGATGAGCAAAGCAGAAAGGAATTCCTTTTTTTTTTTTTTGCGAGATAGAGTCTCGCTCTCACCCAGGCTGGAGTGCATTGGCGTGATCTCGGCCCACTGCAACCCCTGCCTCCTGGGTTCGAGCAATTCTCCTGCCTCAGCCTCCTGAGCAGCTGGGACTACAGGTGCCTGCCACTATACCCAGCTAACTTTTGTATTTTTGATAGAGATGAGGCTTACCATGTTGGCCAGGCTGGTATCGAACTCCTGGCCTCCAATGATCCACACGCCTCGGTCTCCCAAAGTGCTGGGATTACAGGCGTTACCCACAGCCCCCGGCCTGAAAAGGGCTTTCAGAACTGGCCCAGGTGATGATGTTTGTTGAAGAATTGTTCCAAAGCATGTTTTAAGCTTCCAAAAATGCAGCCCTCAAGAGAATGGGCTTGGGCCTAGTGTAGTGGCTCACACCTGTAATTCCAGTCATTTGAGAGGCCAAGGTGGGAGGATCACTTGAGGCCAAAACTTTGAGACCAGCCTGGGTAACACAGCAAGACTCCGTCTCTACAAGAAACTGAAAACGTTAGCTGGGCATGGTGACATGCACCTATAACCCTAGCTACTGGGGACGCTGAGGTGGAAAGATTGGCTGAGCCCAGGATTTTGAGGCTGCAGTGAGTATGATCACACCACTGCACTCCAGCCCAGGTGACACAGCAAAACCCTGCCTCAGAAAACAAAACACGAAACAGAAAGAAGAGAGTGGACTCTGTGGACTGATGGGACCCATACCCAGGTGGCTCCTTTGCTGTATGACAAAGGCAGGTGTAAGACCAGATTCTGTGGAATGAAAGTAAATGGTAGGGTGGTAACAGAAGCCTAGAAAAGTCTGGAAGACTTTGGGCTCAGAGCGGTTTTCTCTGAAGGGGTGGGAGGACCTTCTCATTCCTCATTGCCTATTTCCTTTAACACATCCTGACCTAGCACCTGTGGTGGCCCAGGGCACTCCCTGAAGCCTGGTGTCCATGGCGGACGCGGACAGCACAGCAGCTGGGGCGCAGCGCAGGCAGTGGGAGCTAGATGGAGCGTGAGTACATAGCTGGGTGCCTTAAGGAGACCACGGGGAGTGGGCCGTAGTGGAAGACAGTGGGCCGGGGCAACAGGTGGCAGTGAGGGCCCTCAGAGGAGCTGACATCTGGAACTGAGACAGAGCCAGCCAGGTGAAGATCCGGGGACCCAACCAGAGGATTGGCGCATGCAGAGGAAGGCTAGGGAGGCTGCTATACACCAGAGCAGTTGAGCCAGGGAATGGGGGCGGGGAGTGAAGACCAGGGCTTAGGCTTCATCCTCAGGAGAGGCTGTGTTCTTCTCTACCTTCAGAGAAGCATTGTGGAAAGGTTCAGACACACCTGAGTGGAGAGAATCGAATTGTTTAGTAGCCCCCGCGTACCCATCATGAGTGTCCAGTGGGCAACATTCTGCCCTCTCCACCCCCAGTGGCACAGTGCTGCCTTCAGAAACAAGCAGCACAGATCTCCCACTGGGAAGACTCATGTTTCAGACAGACCCGCAATACCTGTAATACCAGCCTCCTACCCAGCAGAGTTAGCAGTGCTCCCCACGCCACCCACACCCAGTCCTTGTTCAGGTTTTCCCGATTCTCTCAAAAGCCACTCAGGAGCCAGACAAGGGCCACACACGTTGCTTTGGTTGCTGTCCCCTAGTCTGTTTAATCTGTAACGCCCCAACCACCACCACCCACTACTTTTTTGTGATTGTTAGAGTAAATTGTACCTATTAGAAAAATAAAACAAATTGTGGAAACGTGTAACTAAAAAGAATCAAGTCACTTTGCCTCCCTGCAGAAAACTCTTGCATATAGAATGATACAATTTTCTGTAAGTCTGTTGTACTCACTGTAGAGTTTGAAGCGGGGGATGACATCATCCCTTTTTCTCTTTTTTTTCCTAAGACAGAATTTCCCTCTTGTCCCCCAGGCTGGAGTGCAGTGGCGCGATCTCAGCTCACTACAACCTCTGCCTCCTGGATTCAAGCGATTCTCCTGCCTCAGCCTCCCAAGTAGCTGCAATTACAGGTGTGCGCAACCACACCCAGCTAATTTTTGTTTTTTTGGTAGAGACGGGGTTTCACCATGTTGGCCAGGCTGCTTTCAAACTCCTGACCTCAGGTGATCTGCCCGCCTTGGCCTCCCAAAGAGCTGAGATTACAGATGTGAGCCATCGCACCCAGCCTATTTTTTAAAGTTACTTATTGGCTCATGCCTTTGAGAAGTCAGGGTGGGAGGATTGCTTGAGGCCAGAAGTTTGAGAACAGACTGGGCAACATAGTGAGACCTGTGTCTATAAAAAAATGTTTAACAATTACTTGAGCATGGTGGCATGTGTGTCTGTGGGCCCAGCTACCTGAGAGGCTGAGATGGAGGATGGCCTGAGCCTGGGAGGTCAGTGCTGCAGTGAGCTATGGTTGCACCACTTCACTGCAACCTGGGTGACAGAGTGGGACCCTGTTTCAAAAAACAAAACCTTTTTTTCCCCACCACAAGCAGCATACTCTTGTCAGAAACAAAAATATAAAAAAGAAAACAGCGCTGTCTGCACTGCCGCCCCAGCACTAGATGACAGCATCTAAGTCCTTGCTCTGCCCTGTGTGCCAGTGGGCAGCTGTTCTCAAGCTGCTGGGGTAAAATGAGGGAGGTGGGCCAGCTGCTCCAGCCCCGAGGCCCCCTTCCTCCCCATGTGGCTTATCGGTTTCCAGCACACGGAATGAACCTGTCTTTTCTCCCAGGGATGCTATCGATTCTCCTGCCCTGCTGACCTTGCTGGGTGTGTGAGGACTGGTAGGCAGGAGACCTCACCACCACCTCCTCGGCCCCTTCCTGGGGTGGTTGAGCGTCCCACAAACCAGGTGGGGAAGCAGAAGCTGCTGGGCTGGGCTGACGGGGTCCTCCTAACTGGAGGATGGTGGGTCCCTGCTGCTCCTCAGGGACTCTCCGAGGTGTTCCTGTTGACTTAGCCATCAGCACCCTTGGACCCCTGCCAGCAGTTCCGCACCTACTTAGAATCATGTTGACACAGACCACAGCCTGAGGCTGTCATGGGGAGTGGGCTGGGGGTACAGCCGAGGCCCCTCCCGACAGGGTCAGGCACAGGTGGGCTGCTCTGAAGGTGCCCGACCGGCTTTCCTTGGGGCATCTTTGAAAACGGGACAGTGCTCACCTGTCCCGTGTGGTTTTTAGTGCAGGCACTTTAAAAAGAAGGCCCAGACTTGATCCCATCTTTCTAGTTTTGTTTCATAAGGTGAAATTGCTGTTACTCTTTATAAGTATGCCGATGGTATGTACTCATGTAGAAAACTAAGATAAAATGGAAACACATTTAAAAGGTGATAATTACCCGAATGAATTCTATGATGTCCAGGACATACTTTAAAATAATGGGTTATACTTCAGAATAGTGGGTTGTGTGGAGGTTCAGAGGAAAGGAAATTAACCCCGTGGTGATCGTTGTTGACACTGATAGCGGGCTCACAGGGTTCATTACACTGGTTTCCCTGCTTTCATGTAAGTTTGATGTCCAACCTTAAAGAGGTGACCACTACAAATATTTTGAGGAAAACCTGCCTAAGGATGTTCTGTACCAACACACGGAGACAATTTTAGAATCTGCTTTGTGTGTGTATGTGTGTTTTAAGACTTTATTTATCTTTGAGATGGAGTTTTGTTCTTGTTGTCCAGGCTGGAGTGCAATGGAGCGATCTTGGCTCACTGCAACCTCCGCCTCCTGGGCTCAGGCGATTCTCCTGCCTCAGCCTCCCGAGTAGCTGGGATTACAGGCATGCGCCACCACACCCAGCTAATTTTTGTATTTTTAGCGAGATGGGGTTTCTCCATGTTGGTCAGGCTGGTCTTGAACTCCTGACCTCAGGTGATACGCCCGCCTCAGCCTCCCAAAATGCTGGGATTACAGGTGTGAGCCACTGTGCCTGGCCTTAAGATTGTTTTTTTAGAGCAATTTTAAATACACAGCAAAATAAGAAGGCACAGCCATTTCTCATATGTCCCCTAGCCCCCCTCTCCCCCCACAGCCTCCCCCATTATCAACATCTCCGAAGAGTGGGGCACTTGTCACAGTGGATGAGCCTACACTGACACATTGTCACCCAGTGTCCATAGTTGACACTGGGGTTCCCTCTCGGTGTTGGACATTCTGTGTTTGGACAAATGGAATCCTTGGCTTTCAGCCCTCTGTTTTATGGCGACGCCATTTGGTGAGATCCTTTGTTCCTTCACCTACATGTGGTGGAGATGCTTCTGAGCCAGAGGCCTGCTGTGTTGGGTGGCAGGACAGTTGTGTGATGGGATGTTCCCAGCCAGGCTCCTGGATGGGGGTCCCAGCTCCTTCCTGGGAGCTCCATCTCTGGGCAAGTTTCCCAGTCCCTGTGGCTTCAGCTGCTTTATTAGAAAATGGTCCCTTCTCTGTAGGATTAGTATGAGGGTTAAATAAGTGCATTGCATATAAGCAAATGTCAGTGAGTGCAGCTCTTGTCCGTTTTCACAGCGGGCCGTGTTCCCTCATGCAGCTGTGCCTTGAGTGATTTCACCATTGCCAGGTGCTGGACATTAGACTCTGTCCAGTTTTTCACTGGCTGGACAGTGCTGCGCCTGACTCTGCACTTGTGAGACCACCAGCCCTGTGGCAGGTGCCCTTTTCTGCACTCCAGCCTCTAGGACCTTTTGCTCTTCCCCAGCTTGAGAGCCTCAGGCCCTGGGCTTCTCTGAGTTGTCACAGGCAGTTGTGGCCGCGTCTCTTCCTCTGTGAATACAGGTTCCCTAAGCAGCTGGCTCTGGGGTCCCTTCCCAGCACAGATGTCCAGGGAGAGGCACACATGGTGGCCGTGGACCTTGCCGGGCTCCTGGGCTCCCTTCCTGGTCCAGCCTGCCGGGTACCTGGGATGGTCTTGGTGCTCCTGTTCTCACCTGTGCTCTCTGCCCCCAGGGAAGGCTACAACAACCCCCCCATCTCGGGTGAGAACCTGATTGGCCTGAGCAGGGCCCGGCGCCCCCACAATGCCATCTTTGTCAACTTTGAGGATGAGGAGGTGCCCAAGCAGCCACTGGAGGCTGCAGCCCAGACGTGGAGGAGAGTCTGCACCAACCCCGTGGACCGGAAGGTTGAGGAGGAGCTGAGGAAGGCGAGTCCCACGCTGCGCCCAGCCTGGTGGCCCCAGCCTCTGTGTGGGCCGCTTGTGTTTATCCAGCTGCTCCTTGTCCCTGGCTGTGGGTTAGCTGCATTGACCTTTTCAAAACCCATTCCTTAGTGTATGGGAAATTTCCACCTTCAGATGTCATGTCTAAAGGCCGTGGCGATATAAGTTCCACATTCCCAAGGTTGAACACGTTTCTTAGAGCTCTTAAGGAAAATACGTGTGCACTGTTCCAGTGTGACCTAAACGTGGAGCTCTGGGATCCACCGAACTCATTCATCCAGTCACTCACTGCAGCAGACCCAGTGGGGCGCCTGGTGTGCCGGACCCAGCACTTTTTTACCATTAGAGCTGGAACCACGCTGCCAGGCAGCCCGCCTTCCCTAGGCTTGTAGGTGCTTTGGAGGCCTGCATCCCCATAGGCATGAACATCAGGTTCACAGTGAGGCCATACCACTGCCATCCAATCCTGGCTCTTCCCTTACACAGCGCGCCTGTGGGAGGTCTTTCTGAAAGAGACCGTGTGGATATCCGTTGATTTCTTATTGATTTAACTGGGGCACTGTCAGTGGCTCCTCTTTGTCCTCTGGCCACAGCCCACATTCCTAAACTGGCTTGTGAGGCCCACTGCCCTGGCTCTCCAGCCCTCCACACTGTGGCCACACTGACCTTTGCAGTCCTCCCCAGGCTAGGCTGTCCCCTTCAACCCTGACAATGTCCCACCTCAGACACCTGTTCTCTATATTGGGGCAGCATGGGGACCCTGGGACTCTAGCATGTCTCCCCTGAGCCTGCTCCGTGATGCACTGTGGGCTGTATGAGGACAGCGACCATGTCCCTTGTGGTCATTTCAGGGCCCCAGCCCCACAGCTGCACTTGGCACGGGCTGGGCATGCAGCCCAGGCTTCCGAGGGAACAGATGTGTGAGTGCAGTGGGACCTAGGGCCACGCCCTATGTGTCCAGCCCCTGCCCTCCACCAGCTCCTCTCTGGAGGGGCCACTGGGGTCCAGACCATGCTGGGGAGTCCAGGGCAGAAGGGTGGAAGTTACTGGTGCTCATCTCAGCCTCTGCCCTTGGCCTCCCTAGCTGTTTGACATCCGTCCCATCTGGTCCCGGAACGCTGTCAAGGCCAACATTAGTGTCCACCCAGACAAGCTCAAGGTCTTGCTTCCCTTCATAGCCTATTACATGGTAAGTGTCAAGCCCACCCACCTGCCTTGGTTCCCACCTGGGTGCTCCCTGATCCCTGATGTGATGTCTTAGAGCCATAGTAAGAGCAGCCAGCCCCTATCCTGTCCCCTATCCTGTCCCCCATCTTGGCCCATCCTTCCTACCCACCCCTGGCCTGGACCCCATCCTTCCTGCCCCACCCCCAACCTAGTACCTCCCCTGTCCTGGCACCCCATCCTTCTTCCCCCCGATCCTACCATCCCTAAGACAGCTTATTAAAGCCAACTAGGAAAGTTTTAGGTCCCTGAGTCCAGGCTGCTCCCCGTAGCCTGTTGGGCTACAGAGCCCAGCCCCTGACCACAGCAGCCCTGAGTCAAGTCCTCCCACCTGTGGGACATTAGGGGAGGCCATGTAAGCATGACCGCGAGGGTCTGCAACAGGCAGTAGGGCACAAGAAAGACTTCCCCGCCGTGTGGGACTCCTGGCCCGAGAGCACCTGTGCTGCTTGGCATTGGCCTTTTAATTTTTTTTTTTTTTTTT